TTTTTAAAAAACACCATGAGAATTTTTAACCTATAGACACTAAAATGAATATACAAACTTACTAACAACCCCTTAAAAATTAAAAATTCGTAAAAAATATCACACTCCCTTTAAAAGTATAAGTTTAGGAAATACTTTTCATGGTCAATATTAGCCATAATATTTTTGAAAAGAACATAACTAATTAAAAATCTATTAAATTTAAAATTTATATAAAAACACCCTTAAAGTTTAGTACATTACAAATTACCCCTCCAAAGTTTAAATTTTTTTAATGATTTTTTGCAATTCCTTGATTTTAATATAATGTTTAATAGTTTTGTATATTTATAAATTATAAAATTTTAGGGTGTTTTTTTACAATGTTAAAACTTTGAGGGTATTTTTTTTGTAGTTTTCTAAATTTTCATTGTGTTTTTAGTATAATGCATATATTCATCAATTAATAATGATAATGAAGAGTAAGTCGTTCTTAAGATGTATTAGGCTATAGTTAAGTGCACATCACTCTTCCTAAGCAGTATAGTTTATATATGCAAATATTTTCAGACAATCTATATAATGGTTAAAAGGATTTTGACTTTAATGTACTATTTTTTAATTATATTTAACGTAAACCCACCATATAATTTTGATTGTAGTCATCATAATTTTAATATGTTTGATTGATTGATTATATAGGTATATAGATCATAGATTACTTTACTTTCTCATATGAACTAATATTTGGTGCTTAATAATTTAAATTATTATTTTTAAATTTAATATAAGGGGAAGCTCTAATAATATTTATTTATTTACCTGCAGGATTATGCAATCTCAATTCCTTTTTTTTTTTGAGATTTATTCCATAGTTATGTGTATCAAATTAGTAACTACAACGAAAAGTTAACCAATTTTGTGGAGCCCAACTACTGGCTACAAGCATCAAGGTTTCCCCACACCCACACACACTATATATATATATATATATATATATATATATATAATTGAAAAGGGTTATATAATCTTATATAATAAAATTGATTTAATATTGAATAGTAGTATCGTTGTAATAATATTGTTATTAGGAAAAATTCTTATATTCTTTACAATATATAAGCTATGCACTCTAAATTCTTGTGTGTTTTACAGAGCAAAAAGGTTTGAATACAAGCCTCAAACATTTTTCTCTCGCAACATCAAAATCCACTTAGTAGATGTGGATATTCCAGATGAGTTATATCTCCTATATACAATACAATAGCTCTAGGCATGCATGTAAGTTATAATAGCATTTTTTATTCACTTAATTTGGAGCAAGATATGATAGGGACATTGCATAAATAAAATAAATTTTTATATTTAGAGCACACATGAAAATATATCATAATCTCCCTGCTCTAATTTTATAAGAAAATAATTCTTTATATTTTTAATTTTATTTTTATGATATAGAGAATGTTGAACCATACATTGATGATATTATTCTTTGTAATATTTTTTAAAGAATAAAAGTTAATAAATTCTTCAAGTACAAGTGTTGCTCCTCAACTGCTTTGTTGTATTATTTTTAAGGTGTTTGTAATTTGCAGTTTTTTTCGGTTTGGTAAAAGTTTATTAAAGTTTTACTTCTATCAATCCCACAAACAACTTTATTTTTTTATTCTACTTTATTAATTTAAATAATTATGATATTCAATCACGTGCATTGCACGTGCATCTCAACTAGTCATACTCCCCTTAAAGTACAAGTTTGGTAAAATCTTTCTATGGTCAAGATTACCCTTGACTATTTGAATATTTTATTTAAATTTAAATTTATTATAATCATAATTATATCATATTTTAATCCTATGTGAACTACTTACAGGTCAATAATTTAAAGATTAATAAGCTATAATATATGAAGATTAAAAACCCCAAAAAGTTTTAAAAATTGCACAAAATACCCTTAAAAGTATAAAATTACATAAAATATCTAGACATTTCAAAACTTAAAACAGCAAACATGAAACCATTAATATTTTAAAAACTATAGAAACACCCTCAAAAGTTTAAATAATAACAAAGTACTATAAAATTCTGAAATTTCAAAACTTGCGAACAACAAAGACGAATTCAAGGAATTACTATCAGACACTAAAAACTAAAATTTATAAAAAAAAATAACCTCAAAGTTATAAATATTCCGAAAAACTCCTTCAAAAATTAAAAAACACAGAAAACCCTAAAATTTAATAACTTATAACCAATACATATCAAATTTTAAAATTATACAAGCTCAGAAAAATCTTTCCATTGTTAATATTACCCTTGACTATTTGAATATTTTATTTAAATTTTAATTTATTATAATCATAATTATATCATATCCTAATCCTATGTGAACTACTTACAGGTCAATAATTTAAAGATTAATAAGCTATAATATATGAAGATTGCAAACCCCCCCAAAAAAGTTTCAAAAATTGCACAAAACACCCATAAAAGTATAAAATTACACAAAACATCCAGACGTTTCAAAACTTAAAACAACAAACATGAAACCCTTAATATTTTAAAAACTATTAAAACACCCTCAAAAGTTCAAATAATAAAAAAACACTATGAAATTCTAAAATTTCAAAACTTGCGAACAACAAAGACGAATTCAATGAATTACTATCAAACACTAAAAAACTAAAATTTATATAAAAAAAAATAACCTAAAAGTTTTAAAAATTCGGAAAAACTCCTTCGAAAATTAAAAAAACACACAAAACCATGAAATTTAATAACTTATAACCAATACATATCGAATTTTAAAATTATCAGCAGACCGCTAAAAATTTAAATTTTGCAATAAATAATCTAAAGTTTCAATAATTGCAAAAAATACCCTCAAAATTCAGAGTTGCAAGAAATATTCTGACATTAAAAAACTTACTACCAACACATGAAACATGAAAATTACAAGCACTCAACTTAAAATTTAAAATTTTTAAAAAACACTCTCAAAGTTTCAAAATTTGCAAAACACACACTTAAAAATTCAAAATCACGAAAAAGCGACTAAAATTGCAAAGCATAGCACAAAAATGAGTAGTTGTTTGATATTCTTTCATTAAGATATATAAATTTAACTTTTATTTTAAGGTTTTACTATCCTTTTTTTGTATCTAAAAGTAGTCTAATTTTATCAAAGAAGATAAATGTGGAAAAGGATTGATAACGTCTCATTAAAAAATATAACAGAATGAATGAAAGACACTATTTTTTGAATATTTTATAGAATAGGTTTTTTGGAGTAAATTAGGAATTTTTGAAAGGGATTTTCATAAACTTTTTTAGTTCTTTTATACGTTTATGTGGATGTTTTCATTATATAAAAGTATACTAGTTTTAGTATTAATCTTTATTTTATAATTTTTTAAAGTCTATCAAGGATTAGGAACAAACTCCATATTATCTTTTGTGTCATTTTAGCTCAATTTTAACCAATCATATTGTCTTATGAGCTTTAATTATTCATTTTCCTTTTAGAACACTATTTTTTGAAGTGTTTTTCACTTTTACAATGCTATATTTTCTCAGGTCAAGCTTGGTTTCATGTTTCTTTCAATGACATGATAATTCAAATTGATTTCGGATTACATTTATTTCCTGTTAATTTAATTTTCAATATAAAAATTTAAATTGGGTGTTGTTCATTTAAACGAATATTAAAGAAAATAAATAATCACAATGCTAAAGTTTAGAGATATAAGTAAGCAAAAATCATCAAAGTGGAACCGATGAACAAGTTTTAGCTAGTAAGGAAATAAACCAAATATACTTAATCATGATATTTTACCACCTCGTGCATTACACGTGTATAAAACCTAGTAGTATATAAAAACTCTGAGTTCAATTTCATCATTCGTAACGGATGTGTCCCAAGACGACCAGTCGTGATAATTCACAGATAAATGGTAAAGCAAAAGTA